GCTGACGGCGGGGTGCGTTCCCCCGGCTGGCGGCGGCGTTCCCCCGGCTGGCCGCGGCGTGTGTTTCCCCCGGCGTTCCCCGGTCTGGCGGCCTCGCCCTTGCACTGCGTTGCCCTCGCGCTGCGTCGCCAGAACAATGAATATTCCTTGTACTTAGCCTTTCTTGCAGGAAATTCTGCCTCTGCGAGGGACTGTTCATTTGAAAAGAGGCTTTGATTCTGTAGAAAGGAGTTGTAGGATTGGGAGAGACAGGCCAGCTACACCTGGAAGCAGAGTCTTTGATGTGGTGAGAAACTGGGAAAGAGTTCCCTCAAGCAGACTAAGCAAGCACACGAAAGCTCATAGGTGCTGTGGGGTTACCAGTTCCAGCTGCCGTTCAGTGGACCTGACTCCCAGCTACCCCGTTATGTGCCAGGGAGGCTGTGCTCTGAGGGGTTTGGAGTAGCTGGTTGTACTGGAGTTGATCGCCAGGCCTTTCTTCCACATCAGCTGTGTGTAGATTTGAGCATTGACCTTTCCAGGCAAACACGCTGTTTTCACCCCGTAGGGACTTTGACAAGGCGGTTGGGGAAGTATTCAAAACAGGTGAGCAGTGATGAAGATTTGAAGGAGGACTCTGGCAGTAAGGGGACAGTAAGGGCTGTGCCGCACGAGGGCGGCCGTGCCCAGGTCTCCCCTGCTGGGCTTTCCTCTGCCCTTCCCTGTGCCCGTGTCAGTGAGTCCTCCATCTGTGCCCATGTCTTCCAGGTCCTGGCAGGAGAGCGTGTCTCTGAAGGAGCTGCAGAGCCGTGGTGTTTGTCTGCTGAGGCTGCAGGTGACCAGCCAGCGGACTGGGCTCTATGGACGACTGCTGGCCACCTTCGAGCCCAGGAAGTGCGGACCTGAGGCGGTGCTGCCCAGCCACAGCTTCACTTCCGGTGCGTGTGGAGCTCAGCCTGCCTTAGCGAGACATTGTGGGTCCCTGTTAGAGAATCCCAGTTCTCCTGACTCACCTCCCTGTCCCCAGCATTCAGTCCATAAACCCACGAATTAGCATGGGGTCATTTCTGACTCAGAGTGACCCTGGTGGACAGAGGACGACTACCCCATAGGATGTCCCAGGCTGCAAATCTTTATGAAAGAGGTGGCTCCATGTGCTCCTACGGAGTGATTGAGAGGTTTGAACCACTGACCTTGCTGTTCAAAGCCAAATGCTTAACTACCACAAGGCAGGGCTCCCTCCTCAAGGCCTGCGCAGCCGCTTACGTGTCTTCTGGCTGTGCGCTTGTCTTCTCCGGACATGAGTCATCTGTAGACCGCTCTGTGACTTTCTGGAACTCACCCTCTCTGAAGAGGAATGATGGGCGCACTGCGACTTTGCTGAAGGAGCTCTCCTGGTTCAGTGGGGGTTTGCTGGGCCGCTAAGGTGGCCTCGGGAGTAAGGAGTTGTTCTGCCAACTTGAGAGCAAGTGGTTCGAATGCATCCGGTGCTCCTCGAGAGGAGCACGAGCAGTGCCCTCCTGTGTAAATTACAGCCTCTGAAACCCGCTGGAGGGGCAGCTGGGCGCTGGTTCCGCCTCCATGGCGGTGAGTCTTTCAGGTGAACTGGCCAGCACCAGCTCTGTGGGAGAAGTACGTGGCCGTGGCTCCCGTGGAGCTGGCGGGCGTGGACCCCTAGGAGGTCTGTGTGTCCTGCGGGGTCGCCGTGAGTCGGGCCGACGAGACAGCCCTGGGTCGGGTCCGGGGGACTGCCCTCAGCAGGAGAGGAACAGGTTGGACAAATGTGAGGGCGGACTGTGAACTCTGAGGTGCAAAGGTGGTCGCACGTTTGTGTAATTAGCACTTGTGGAGTGGGTGACATGAGAATGAAGAGTTGATGAGTGGAGTTTGGGGGAAGTGGCATGTAGGTGATCGTGGATGTGTCCTCCCAGCTGCCGAGGTGGGTCCGGAGGCGTGATTACTACTTCGTCTTGGAAGGCAGCGTTTGGCTCAGGAACTGAGAGATACAAATCCTGCAGGCCTGTGTCCCCAGACCCCAGGACAGTGGTCTGGGGGTCCACGGGGGCAGGCCCTCTGTATGCCACCGCCTTGGGGAGCAGACATGAGTAGAAATGGCCCAGCAGCTCTGGTGCCACCTCTGCGTGCAGCTGGGGAAGGAGACTGGACTCCAGTGCAGGAACCCCCGGGGGGAAGCCAGCAGGCCGAGCCAGATCCTGACCCTAGAGGTGCACACGACACGCTCTCTGATACAGAGGTGACAGCTTTCATCCCACTGTGGACACTGGGTCAGGCAGCGCTGTCTGCACTTAGGTGACAGGAAGCCGTAGGCCGTCTGCCAGTGGAGGCAGAAGTGAGCATAGGCTGGGTGCCGGCTGCAGGATCCAGGGCGGCATGGCTGGGGCGGTTTCTCTCCAGTTCTGGCCTCTTGGGGTGCATGTGGATGTGATCTCGCCGCTCCCCTCACCCTCACCCTCTCAGGCGCTGGGCTAGCGGGAAGGTGTTGGGGAGAGGCTCCTTCCAGGTGTCTAGGAGGACGTCTGTGTGCTCTGGGGCTGCTCTGGGGCTATATTTGATCATCGTGAGCCCATCCCAAGGTGGCCGCTTGATGTAGGTGCTTAGAGCTTTGTCTGCTGAGTGGGCTTGGGCCCCTGGAGTGGGAGAGGATGCTCCTCAGTGTCATCTGTGGGTGGAGGACCACCAGGGACTTCTGGGAAGGAGGGCATGAGAGCCAGTGGCCGTGGACCGCCATCCCTCATCCTGCTTCGGTCCCTGCCTGGAATGTCCCTCTCTGGCTGTCATGTTGTTCACTCATAGGAGATACCTGCTTACCTCCTTCCCCTCCCAGGAGACCTCTGTGATGTGGCCATGGTGCCTCGTTCCCTTCACCCCTCCTGGGCCCCCGACCTCGGTAGCGCTTGGCACAGTGGGCATCTCCTTCGTACTTTGAGGAGGGCACTGTGTTCGGTGCATAGCACAGAGCCAGCATCTGACTGAGACAGACTCTTGTGGGTTGTTGTGCTTATGCGTTTGGGCTTTGTTTTGATTGTCTTCTTTGTTTAAACAGCTTATTGATTCTAAGTAATTTCCAGTCACCCAGCCTGCGGGTGGGGTCAGTGCTGGGTGTGGAGGTTTGAACTGCCATCTGTAAGGGTAGTAGTTGGAGGGCACACTGTTTGCACCATCCAGAGACCTCGGACAACCGAATCCATGTCCTTGTGTGGATTCCCATTCCCGGTGACCCTGCTAGGCTTCCAAGGCGTAAATTTCTCCAGGAGCAGACACAATGCCCCGTGGAACTGCTAGTGGACGGTGACTGCCCATCACATAGCCCACAGCCTGACTGTTGTGAATTTTTTTTTTTTGTTGTTACTGGTTTTGTTTATTGAAGAAATGAGCAAAGGTACATTCTTGGAAATGGAGAGGAATTTATTCTAGAACTTCTTGCCTTTAACCTTTTTCAGTGTTTTTAAGTGACTCCGAGTTTTCGTTTCTCAGGAGACATAGTGGGGCTGTACGAGGCGGCTAATGAGGGCAGTCAGCTGGCCACGGGGATCCTGACCCGGGTCACTCAGAAGTCAGTCATCGTGGCCTTTGATGAGACCCATGATTTCCAGTTGAACTTGGACCGAGAGAATTCCTACAGGCTCCTCAAACTGGCTAATGATGTCACTTACAAGCGGCTGAAAAGGTGAGTGAGTGGTCCACTGAGCGTTTCCGTGCCCCCATACCTGCTTCCTGCCCCCTTTCCTGCTGAGCATATCTACCTGGGAGAAGAGCTGGGGGCAGGGCTCAGGCTGGGGCGGGGCCTGCAGTGGGGGCAGGGCTGATAGTCTAGGCAGCCTTTGGGAGGGTATGGGGGTGGAGCTTGAGGCCAGCTCTGGGGCCCGGAGCCCTGGGTTTGAGGCTGGTATGTGGGCGGGGTTTGGGTTTGAGGCGGGACTATGGGCGGGGTTTGGGTTTGAGGTGGGGCTGTGACAAGCTTAGGGTTGGGCAGAGGCTGTGGGCGGGGTTTAGGTTTGAGGCAGGGCTGTGGGTGGAGTTTCTTGTTGTGGGCGTGGTTTGGGCTTGAGGCGGGGCTGTGGACGGGGTTTAGGTTTGAGGCAGGGCTGTGGGTGGAGTTTCTTGTTGTGGGCGTGGTTTGGGCTTGAGGCGGGGCTGTGGACGGGGTTTGGGTTTAAGGCAGGGCTGTGGGTGGAGTTTGTTGATGTGGGCGGGGTTTGGGGGCAGGGCCATGGGCGGGACTTGGGGTTGAGGCGGGGCTGTGGACGGGGTTTGGGGGTGTTGAGATGCTGTGGGCATGGTTTGGGTTTCAGGGAGGCCTGTGGGCGTGGTTTGTGTTTGAGGCAGGATTGTGGGCGTGGCTCAGGTTTAGGGTGGGGCTGTGGGCGGGGTTTGGGGGGTTGAATTAGGGCTGTGGGCGTAGCTCAGGTGGGGTGAGGCTGTGGGCGTGGTTTGTGCTTGAGACAGGCCTGTGGGTGTGACTCAGGCTGTGGGGGCTGTGTTTGAGGCAGGGCCGTGGGCGTGGCTCAGGCTTGGGGTGGGGCTGTGGGCGTGGTTTGGGTTTGAGGCAGGACTGTGGGCGTGGCTCAGACTGGGTGTTGTGTTTGAGGCAGGGCCGTGGGCGTGGCTCAGGCTTTGGGGACTGTGGGCGTGGTTTGTGTTTGAGGCAGGGCTGTGGGCGTGGCTCAGACTGTGGGTGTTGTGTTTGAGGCAGGGCCGTGGGCGTGGCTCAGGCTTGGGGAACTGTGGGCGTGGTTTGTGATTGAGGCAGGGCCGTGGGCATAGCTCAGGCTTGGGGTGGGGCTGTGGGCGTGGTTTGGGTTTGAGGCAG